CCACTTCACTTGGCTGCAAATAGTGGACACGAAGAAGTAGTAGACCTGCTAATCGAGTGTGGTGCGACTGTCGACGCAGAAAATAAGACACTGAATACTGCACTTCACTGGGCAGCAAACTGTGCACACAAAGAAGTAGTACACCTGCTAATCAAGTGTGGTGCGACTGTTGATGCAAGAGACGACCATTTGAGTACCCCACTTCACTTGGCTGCAAATAGTGGACACGAAGAAGTAGTAGACTCGCTAATCCAGCGTGGTGCGACTATTGACGCAAGAAATGATACACTAAATACTGCACTTCACTGGGATGCAAATAATGGACACAAAGCAGTAGTAGACCTGCTAATGCAACATGGTGCGGCTGTTGATGCAAGAGATGGAAAATTGGATATTGCACTTCAATCGGCTGCAAATAGTGGACACAAAGAAGTAGTAGACCTGCTAATTGAGCATGGTGCGGCTGTCGACGCAAAAGACGTGAATTCAATTACTCCACTTCACTTGGCTGCAAGTAGTGGACACAAAGAAGTAGTAGACCTGCTAATTGAGCGTGGTGCAACAGTTGACGCAAGAACTAAGATACTACGTACTGCACTTCACAGGGCTGCAGATAGTGGACACAAAGAAGTAGTAAACCTGCTAATCGAGCGTGGTGCGACTGTTGACGCAAGAGACGTGAATTCGGATACCCCACTTCACTTGGCTGCAAATAGTGGACACAAAGAAATATTAAACCTGCTGATTAACCGTGGTGCGACTGTAGAAGCTACTAATATGAACGGCGAAACTCCCTTATTACTAGCTGTGCTGGCTGATAATCTAGATACGGCTTCCCTGTTGATCGAAAAGGAAGCCAAAATAGAAGCAGCTGATAAGCATTCATTAACTTCTTTACACCGGTCAGCTAAACATGGTAATTTGGCCATGCTCGAGTTGCTACTGCGAAAGAAAGCGAACACTGAAGCTACAACCAATACTGGTAATACCGCTCTTCATTTGGCTGCAGAATTTAACCATGCCATCATTGTGACTAGTTTAATCAACCATAAAGCCGACATTGATGCTGAAAATGAAGATGGACACACACCGATTCAAGTAGCTATGAAGAAAGGTCAACTTGATGTAGTAGATCAAATTGAACATGCTGTGCAAAGGAAGTACGGAAGCAATGTTTCCCGCCGTTTGTATCTAGCGGCAGACTTCGAACAAGTCAATCTGGTCAAGACAATATTGGACACACTGAGCAATGCAGCAGAAATAAGTTCCTATATTGATACAATGCTACTTAGGGCATCACACAAAGGAAAGGTTCGTGTGATCTCTTACCTTCTGGACATCGGTGGAGATATCGAGGTGTGCAATGACGATGGACATCCACTGCTGTCATTAGCATATAACTATCCTGAGGTAATATCTATGCTGCTTCATCGAGGTGCTAACATAGAAGCCAGGAACATCAAAAATCGACATCACACCATCCTGCAATATTATACATCCCTCGGTGACATCACAGCACTATGCTTCTTGTTGAACTGTGGATGTAATATGCATTCGACTGACGACGACAGTAATACAGCACTTCATTATGCTACAAGAAGTGGACATTGTGAAGTAGCAGATATACTGCTTCAGCGAGGAGTGGATATCAATGCCAAGAATGATAGAGGTGAAACAGCTCTTCATATAGCAGTAGAAAAAGAGGCATTTGCATTGGTAAACCTTTTGATTGACAATGGAATTGACATTGATGCAAAAGACTATGCGACAGAATCAACAGCGTTACATATTGCAATCGAAAAAAGTAACTCGAAATTAATCTCATTGTTGTTGGAGCGACATGCTGATGTTAATTCAAAAAATAGTTATGGAGAGACCGCCTTGCATTTGACAACTGATATGAACCTCAACGAAGAATGCACTCTAATAATGAAGCGAGGTGCGAACATCAATTCCAGAGACAACTTTGGGGACACCCCGTTCTATTTTGCAGTGGAAAGAATGAATCCGTATCTAGTTAACGCATTCCTCGAAATTGGAGCTTCTGTTAACGACTCTCATGGTCCTGAAAATCTACTGACGCGTGCTGTTCAGATCGCTGATATGCGGAAAGGCTACTATAATGAGTGGCAATTTATTGCTGTGGTTAAACTGCTTATTGCAGCTGGTGCTAAACCTGAAGAAGTAGAAGTACCTCAAGAGTTAGAAAAGAGATTTCCTACACTGCGATACGAATTATCTAAGCCCTCTGCTCAACATTTGGGAAAGGAAAGCATTTTTTCGAATATAACATCAGAAATTGTGGATGATAATAGCAAAAAGCTAAACCCAATCGATGTTGTACTGAAGGAATATGGCCATGACTTAGTCGGCGAGCCTGAAGGTAATGATTTCTCGCCTGTTAATGCTATTGTTCCTTTTCCAATATTTACTCACAGTTCCATTAATTGTCTGCTTAGCCAACCACAGTAATGAAAGATGGCTGAATCACACTAGTCACAAGTATGGTAACGGATTTCCGCCTTTTAAGAGCCTTCAATTGGAAAAGTTTCCGGACATTGATTTCAAGGACGATGAGAATACCACCTCAGGAGCAGCTCCATTTGCACGATCATCGAAGCCATCTGAAACGACGTCAGTTGAAAGACGTGCTATAGCAATCATTCAATCCTTACTTGATTGTGTAGGAGCGAGATTTTTTGCCTCGAACTATTTTTTCATGTTAGAGTCGGACAGATGTATCGACATGAAGCCTCCGAGATGGGCGTCTCACTTTGACAAAATGAAAGGTATCATTCGAGAACCAGGTCGCTTGCTGGTACAAATTCCTCCAGAGGACACAACTCTATCTGTGCCAACCTGGTACAAAGCGAAGGAGCTAAACCTTCAATTCATAGACGCAGTGTATGTATGTAGAAGATCGAGTCTTCGTCCTAGTCAAGAGGCATTTTCGGATATTCTAGGAGGGTCAGAGCAAAATCTTGCAGTTGACCTGCATGCCATACTGATAGCAGGTCTTAGCATCCTCAGTATCGCTGGTGGCGATGGACTTGTTGAAAAACTAGTTATGGCGATTCGCTGTGACGAACTGGACCCCGTTCAAATTATGTTGCCATCCAATAGCATATTTAGCGACTGGCAGATACGCAATAGATGCCGGTGTCCTTGTAATCCAGAGTCTAATCATCGTCCACTCTCGCCAGTAGCCGCTGCTAAAGCGGTAGGAATAAATGTATGGCAAAAGCGACATCCATACATCGTAAATCGAGTATGGGATTTGAAGCAAGATAAGCTAGTGAACGATATTGACGTCACAAAGGTTGTGTTCATAACACATAGATGGAGAAAGACCGAAGTCAGATATCAGGATGTAATGAAATTAAAACTGTCTCACCGTAAACAAATTAGCAAGACGTCAGGAAAGCTAGGTCGTATCTACAACACGTTACGAAAGCATACGAGATATGTATGGATGGACACAATTTGCATCGACAAGTCAAATCTGTCGGAGCTTGATGAAGTAATTCGTTCAATGTACAAGTGGTATGCCAACTGCGCCGCTGTTGTCTTGGATTCAGGTACTTCTCTTTCTAAATGGAGCAGCAGAGGCTGGTGTCTGCAGGAAGGTGCTGCAGCTGGAATTCTCTGCGGAATATCAAAGGAAGGAAAGATCGCCACAATACAACAATTGGCCATTGAGCAAAAACAAGACCTCTGTACTCTTGACCTTCATCTATATTATCGGCAAGGAAATGCTGCTGAGATATTGGCAAGAATGGATGCTCGGCAGCTAACTCGTGAAGAAGATAGGGCTTATGCTTTGGTTGGAATATTTTCTATTGACTTGACCTTAGCTTATGGCGAAGGACTCCGATCTCGTACAAGGCTATTGCATCAGCTAGCTATTCAGAAAGGCGATCTATCATTCTTGAGCTTCCACTCCGCAGGAGAGACGCTTCATCACTACTTACCAGCTATTGGCGAAACCTACTATATAATTGCAAAGTGTACAAGTGCCTCAGCTCCAATTACTGTCAGTCATTTCGGCATGTGTCTTGAGGTCCAATTTGTCAACGGAGAAGATGCAAAGCGGGTACTGCGAAATCTGAATGATTGGAGAAAAATGAGCTTTGCAAGAGGTCGATGCCTAGGAGCAGAAGACCTTGTCAAGGTGGGAGAACAGCCTAAGTACCAACGCTCGTCGTCTGTAGAGCTCGCTATCGTACATGACATCAGGTCACTTATTTTGGTACAAGTATATGGTGAAGATATGCAGACAGGCGGAGGAAAACCAATCAAACTGTGCTACCCGCTCCAGTGTTGCCAGATAGAAGAAGATGAGTTTGAAAGACTTTTCAGTTTGTGTATTGATGAACCCAAGGAGCCAGCAGCAGGACCTGAGGAACTGAAGCTGGAAGGCGAAAGCAAAGCAAAGGTAGCAAATGAAGATCATTCCGACAGTGATATCCAATTTGAGAGAATCTGGTTAGGCGACATGCCTGATGGCGCTGAACTAAACCAGCTTGAAAGTGAGAGCGTAGGGCACCGTGGAAGAAGATACCGAAGGAAATATGATGGGTAGGGTCTAACTCAAAACTTGATTTAATATACTCATTTTCTCATTAGGATAGTACGTTGAGCCACAATTCAATAAAAAAGCGTTTATACCCGCCACTCCACTTGGTTGCTATGCCATCGTCGTGACTAATCCTACACGGATGTATTGTTGATATAAAGAACGAAAAATGAAAGCTTGGGTGTTGTTTGTACTGGATAGCCAAATAAAACTAAGAAACTGGCTTTCTTGTTGCTGGGAAGATGCTGGTGTGAGCTTTTGATTTCACTGAAAATTTCATATGTTCGAAATCGAGTCTTTGCTTCCTCTCCTACTGTTGAGGTTGAAATTCATATTGTATTTTTTGTAATTTAATAAAAACCCATAGCGTTTGACAAATATTGATATAGACATACTAGATATGCTATAGAACACGAACACTAATCGATTGGTCAGTATGATGGGTAATGCCAAAATGTGGTTAACGCACTGACTATCACGCTCGGCCTAACTTGCTCTCCACGGCAATGAAGCCAAGCATAACGGGGTTCTGTCGCAGAGACTTTTACGTTGTAACGACAGTGTGTGTCACACGCGGACTATTACCAGCAGACTATCACAATACAGTTACATTTATAACTTCTCTTTCCAAGTAGTCATATTATCGACTATAAGATAATGCAAGATGCTCTTGACGTGCACTAAGTTGATTCCTTTAACTACCAGGTGTGTTTGTGAATTTGAAAATCTTTCATCAACAAAGTTTTTTTCAGAGTGCAAAGTAAGTCTCATGGATGAATCAACTGATACTCCGTTGTCGCACAAGCGCTCAAATTTCAAACCGTCGCTGCGCACTCAATTGCAACGCTTCTCTCTTCCTTTTCTTATGCAACCTAACGATATTTCTGACCATGAAAGCGAAATAAATCAAAATCAGATTACGGAACATGACCAGTTGATCGACGATACATCCAGTTGCCATCGCGCTGGCAGTGATGTTGAAAGAGAAAGTGATATTCGCACTCAGTGGTTTGATGAAGTGTTCAAGGAAGATGCCAACAGTATTAGAAGATTACTACAGCTTGGTGCCGACGTTGGCTGGGAGGATTTTGAAAAGATGACGGCACTTCACCTGGCTGCGAAAAATGGACACAACGAAGTAGTAGACTTACTGGTAAAGCATGGAGCTGCTGTTAATGCCAGGAACAAGAATTTAAATACAGCACTTCACTTGGCTGCAGCGTATGGACACAAAGAAGTAGTAGATTTTCTGATACAGCATGGTGCGGCTGTTAATGACGGAAACAAGGATCTCAGTACTGCACTTCACTGGGCTGCAGGAAATGGACACAAAGAAGTAGTACACCTGCTAATCAAGTGTGGTGCGACTGTTGATGCAAGAGACGACCATTTGAGTACCCCACTTCACTTGGCTGCAAGTAGTGGACACGAAGAAGTAGTAGACCTCCTAATCGAGCGTGGTGCGACTGTTGACGCAAGAAATAAGACACTAAGTACTGCACTTCATTTAGCTGCAATGAAGGGACACAAAGAAGTAGTAGACCTGCTGATAAAGCATGACGCGGCTGTTGAAGCAAGAGACGAGTATTCAGATACCCCACTTCACTGGGCTGCAAATAATGGACACAAAGAAGTAGTAGACCTGCTAATCAAACATGATGCGGCTGTTGACGCAAGAAATAAGACACTAAACACTGCACTTCATTTAGCTGCAA